AAAAAAAAAAAAAAAACCAGTACTTGGCCCAGAGCCTCCCAGCCCCCTACACGCCAAGTCCTGCCGAGCCGCCGTTGGTCTTTTTCGTTTTCATTTTGGCAGTGGCCTCCAGCCAATGCGGTCCGGTAGGCCGAAGCCCGAATGCCGCAGCGCGCTAACGGGGAAGCGCCGCGGCCTATAGCTGGGCCAAGTACTGGTGGTTTAACATGAACCACAGACATGTGCAAAACAAAATACCCTACCAGGCAAAAAAAAAAAAAAAAACTGAGTTCGCGCTCTGCGTGAACTCCGTGAACTCCGACCGGTCACGTTTTTCTGGTGAATGAATATGTTGCCAAACATGATTGAAGTTTGAAATGTCACACAAGCCACACAAGCCACGCAAGCCACGCAAACCACAAAAGCCACACAAGTCGCACAAGTTTGAAACTTTATCCAGTTGGCAATGCTAAGAAATCATTTTATCAAGAGCAGCCCCTGAGCGGCGGAGGGTGTGTAGAAAAGACCTGCAGGCTTTTCTAAGCTGGCTGATGCTTCCCGTAATTCTGTCCAGACTCCAGGGCTATGCTACGAGCGGTGCCGCCGGGGCCACCTTGTTTTCCCGGGCGGCCTGGCCGTGCAAGGACAAGAGAAGGTCCCAACAAAAAGAAATAAAATCCACAAAATCCGAAAAACAACTATGTTATGCAGCTTATGCTAGGAAACCGGTTAGGCCAGGTAGAGCGCGGTTCGACGCGCATTGAATGCTGCAATGAATTGCAGTGCTATAAGCGAGCTGTCGGGAGACTTGATCCCGCAACCTTTGTCTGCTGTGTTGTCTGTTTGTTTGCTGTGTTGCCTGTTTGTTTGCTGTTTTGCCTGTGTTGGCGTCGTTGTCCGGAGACTTGATCCCCCCCTGTTTGTTTGCTGTTTTGCCTTGGTTGCGTGTTTGTTCGCTGTTTTGCTGTCTTGGCGTCGTTGTCCGGAGACTTGATCCCACAACCTTTGTCTGCTGTGTTGCATGATTGTTTGCTGTTTGTTTGTTTTGAGCGTTGGGGGACTTGATCCGGCGACCTGTAACCTGTGTGTTTTGTTTGTGAGTGATTGAGCCCTATGGGACTTGATCGCTGAGTCTGTCACCAGTAGTCTCTGTTTGGTAGTCCCAGGGCATTAGGCCTTTTCTTTTGCCCTGTCATAAGTCTAGGTCCCCTTTTACCCTGTTTCTGTCTAGATACAGATGAGGGTTGGGTTGTTGCTTTTGAGAGTCCGTCCTAGGTCTAGGCAGAGGGTAGGCAGAGGGTAGAAGTAGGGGGCAGGAAAATGAGTTCGGGTCTTTTCTCGAGGTTTCGGCTGGGGAAACTCTGCCCGTTTTGCTGCGTTATTCTGGGCTAGGGCATCTTCTTCCTCGAAGCCCAGCCATAGCTGGGCTGGGACATGAAGTTGGAGATCGTACTGCTGCTATTCTGGACATAAAGTTGGGGATAGCACTGCTGCTATTCTGCAGCTCTGCACGAGAGCTTCCACAGGACTGTGTTGTTGGGCTTGGGAGCTGCCTGCCTTCCTACACTTGGCAGCCATATCTGTTGTTTCAATGTTTCTCCTCCTGAGGAACTTCGTTTTTCCTCTTCTTTGAAGTGCTGGGTCGGTTGTCTCCTTCTTCATCAGGACTTCCAGCTCTGCACTTCGGTGCAGGCGCTGAGCTGGCGCTATTATCATAAGGGTTGCTGGTTCAGATTGGCACGTTGTGACAGCTGTGGGGTTACTTCTGCAACCGCAGCCATAGCCAAGGGTATGAGGTGGCGAGGAGGAAGAAGAAGACTCCTGTAGGCTTCGTTGGCCACTTGTTTTTGGTTGTTCGGGGTTGTTGTAAACGCGGTTGTGATTCTTCGATATCGATAAGTACTTTGGATTGATTGGAGGAGGACGGGGGGGGATTATAGAATTGAAATTCGTTTTCCGCTGCGCATATCTTCTCTCCGTTTTTGTGTGGATTTGCCTCCTTCCGCTGCGCATATCTTCTCTCTGGTTTTGTGTGGAATTGCCTCCTTCCGCTGCGCATATCTTCTCCTCTCTGGTTTTGTGTGGATTTGCCTCCTTTCTTCGAGTCTACTCTGCAATTGCATGCGTGTATGGGGATGTGTGAATTCTTTGTGGATGGAAGTTCAATTGGGTACATAACACCCCTACCCCCGTTCTAACCCCGTCTAACGGGGTAAAGAGGTCTTCACGCCGTTTTTTGAAAAACTCAAGGCCGTTTTTTTAAAAACTCAAGGGAGGCATAGGCTACAGATGCCGCCCGCCCTGGATCTAAGGTGGAAGAGCGAAAAAAAGAGGGAAAAAAAAACTCTGATAACCCCCCCTGGCCCCCCCAAGCCTTCCACGCAGCCCAAGAGACCCCTCTTATACACATCTAGATGTGTATAAGAGACAGCTATTGCCCTTTTTATTAAAAACGGACCGTTAGGTGAATTGGACGAGGTGCATCTCCCTTGTCGTGTACAGTCACACAGGCTTAAAAACCCCACG